TCTCGTCTTAAAGGGCAATGCCACCCACCACAGGAATGTTTATTTCTGTGCGCTATAGTTGCACCACTGTTTATGACTAAAGTCAGGAACTAAACCGTTGAATTTGTGCTGCTGTGATTCTGAGGCTGCATTTGTAGATGATTTTAAACCTTTTGATCATTCATTATTTCATGACTTTGAACTATGAATCAGTAAGTCGTACTATTAATTCATCTTTCCCAATACAGACTGAACACATATCAGGACTGAACAATTGTGGCCAAAACACTAAGTGAAATATCTTTTAGCTGTATTGAGATTGCAATTATAGGATGTGCTTTAGTGTATAATCTCCTGAAAATAGGATTGTTGCTGTTTTTATCCTGTGGTTTTATTAAGACCAGAAGCTTTTCTTAAGAAAATGTATTAAATGTAAAAAGTGTAGTCAAGAAAATAATTTTTAAATCATAAAAATACCAATTATTTCTTCTTTTTTCTGGATTTGTTTAGTGACGGATGGCACCACCAACCTGTTACTAGGTAACCACACCAACATGCTGCTGGTTTACCAGGATGTGACCCTGAAGTGGGCGGCCCAGCTCTCCTTCGTGCCCGTGGCCGTTCGCGTCGCCAACTTCCCGTGAGTACGACTGCCGGCAAAACACAACGTCACAGTCACTGAACCTCAGCGGAACCGAGACTTCACGAAGGACTCATTACGACCTCCAGGAGGGATAGGCTAATAGCATGAGATGATGTATTCTAGCTGGAAGATGAACCCGACAATGTCTTCCAGCTGGCCAATCGGAGCAGAGCAGAGCAGAGCAGGGAGGGGCCAGCTGCAGCCAATCATTTGTGTTTTCTTTTCTCCAAACAACTCCAATCAAACCGCAAATCACAAACGTGTGTGTGTGTGTGTGTGTGTGTGTGTGTGTGGCTAAGATGCAGGAGATTGTGTGTCTGGGTAGCTGTTTGGTTTAGTTTGAGGCTGTGTTGTTCTAAAGCACTTGATAGTCATCGTCTTGTTCATTGTAGGAGAGGAACACACACACACACACACACACACACACACACACTCTTAACAGCTCACTGTGGATATCTGTGATTTACAGCAGTGCTCCAGGAGTCTTTTCTGTGTTTTTAGAGGCAATATTGAATTTTATTACTTAATCCTGCCAATGGCCAGCCTCTCTTTGGCTTTTCCAAACTGTCCCCACCAACTAGTGGTCTACACAAGTCCAAATTCAGACCCAATCTGAAACAGACATGCAAACATTAATGCTTCCAAAATACAAAAGAAAGATGTGAAGGGACCCAAGGATCATTAGACCCAATCAAGCAGCAGCATGAGACGCATTCATGTGACGCGTATGAGTGTAAATCTCATCTGGAATCTATCAGGATACGAGACATTTGAAATGGGTGTGTGTGCGTGCGTGCGTGTGTGTGTGTGTGTGTGTGTGTGTGTGTTTTCGCAGAAGTTAAAGTGAAAGTTTTATAACCCTTTAGACACCCTCCTATGCAGGTGTGGACCCCTGGCGAGAGTGTGTGTGTGTGTGTGTGTGTGTGTGCGCGTGCGTGTGTGTTTGTGTGTGTTTACCGCCTCACTGGACTGGAACTACAACACATCTGCAACCGGTTAACACACAGAGTTAAGATACGTTATTGCATCGCGCAGCGTTTCCTCGTGCTCTTCCTGTTTCCATTTCGTTCCACATCACAAACTAATAATAACCTTTGTGTTCGGTTTCCTTCAAAGCTCCCAACAAACTGTCACGAAACAAACTGCAGAAGAGATAGAAAGGACCAGAAAGTACCAGTTTGAAATGCCAATAACTCCTCTCCTCGTCTTTCTCTCCTCTCTCCTCCCTCTCCTCTCCTCGTCTCCCCTCCTCTCTCCTCTCCTCTCCCCTCCTCTCTCCTCATCTCTCCTCTCCTCTCCCCTCCTCTCTCCTCGTCTCCCCTCTCCTCTCCTCTCCCCTCCTCTCTCCTCATCTCTCCTCTCCTCTCCCCTCCTCTCTCCTCTCCTCGTCTCCCCTCTCCTCTCCTCTCCCCTCCTCTCTCCTCTCCTCTCCTCTCCCCTCCTCTCTCCTCATCTCTCCTCTCCTCTCCTCTCCCCTCTTCAGGGAGATAAAAGGAGTGGTGGTCAGCCTGAGCTCTGACGGTCACCTCCTGTGCTCCTACATGGGTACGGACCCGTCCTTCTTCTCCACGCCCAAGGTGGACGCCCGGGAGGCCGACTATGAGCAGGTGGATGCTGAGATGAAGATGCTGCAGAAGTTCATCAGAGAGGCCTCCAGAACTCAGGGTAGGATGCTGCTGCTAGTTTAACAGATAGCCTGGCACATATTAGATCGTGGGCGTTGTTATCTTAGTTGAATCGTAGCTATTGGGCGTTCCAGACCTTGTTAAGGAGGTGGTCTCTGATGCGGTATCTGTGGCTGTCGAAGGACTATAATAAGCCATTACCTGTCTGTCTACCTACCTGCCTTATATTCTTCTTCTGATATGGTATTATATCGTATTCTGCCCGTGCACTCACTACTCATCACCGGAGTCTCTGAACAGTTGCCGTGTTGCTTCACGTTCATGAGGATCATTTTTGGGGGAGTGGCTGTAGACTTGGTAGACTCTTACTAGATTTAACAACTTTTAGAGCTAATGCTGCACCTTTCATCTGGAGAAGAAGTAGCGACACTGGGCTGGCTCGGTTTTGGAAACCGAACGTTCTCCCAAACTGTAGTCGATATTTAACGTTGCACCTCACCGGTTCGTGATTCGGAGCAGAGCAAACGAACTATAGGCGTAAGCAAGGCCCTGAAGCACTAGAGTCTCGTTAAAGTCAGTAGAGCTGCATGTAGTCTGTGAGACCACAGGACAATTAAAATGTCCAGAGCGATGCTCCACTTAAGTGTGACCTACAACAGACTGGTGGGCGGGAGGTCTTACACATTTACATCGGTTTACTTCATGTACATGCTTACAGTGAATACAATCACCAAAATAATTGCAAATATTCATCACAAACTGATGTTTTAAAGTATGTGGTGCTTCTGTTTTTAAGGATCTAACCTCATCGGTTCAATCCTTGAAGGCTAAACTCCTCCGTTGTCTTTTATTTTAGACATCCTGCCTAAAGCCGATGCCGAGGAGGACCTGACCGTTACAGCGACTGTGTCCTCCAGCATGGACAGCCCATCGGTACACACACACACACACACACACACACACACACACACACACACACACACACACACA